TTTTTTTTTTTTTTTTTTTATAACACAGACTTTTTTTTCTTGCATAATGACAAGTGTCCCCCTGCCTCTGCTGAAATGATTGATTGACATTTTTACACAACTCAATTCAAAGTTAAGAATTCACTCCCAGACATGCACTATATCTAGAAGACTTGAGAGTGGAAATATTCAGGTGTTCTTAACTATGTTGCTGTGTGATGTATAGCTTTGTTTTAGAGTTTCTCTTCATTCAATTAGTAAGGTGTTTTTCACATTAAATGGAAGAATATTTATTTTTAAACTAACCTTCTTTTGAGGTGTTTCTTAAAATGATTGACTGTTCAATTTGTTATTTTAATGTACTCTAAACTGACTCTCTTGTGTGTGTTGCAGGTTGCCTTCATGACCTTGACTTTGTTCCCTATTCGACTCTTTTTTGCTGTTTCTATGATGTTAGTTGCCTGGTTTTTTGCATTTATTGCTTTATTGGGATATAACGAGAAGGAACTTGAAAAGCCTCGGTGCTGGTGGCGAAAGTGAGTTCCTACCTTCACTCATTTGGTAAAGCATATGCTGAGGTATTACCAAAAAATAACCACTGCATAACTTAATTGGTTTAAGGAGAAAAGGCCGGAAAAAAAAACTGATGATACTAGAGAAATTTGCTTCTGGGGAGTGAGGAGCTGAGCACTGTGGGACAATGAAGGACCAGCAGGTCCCTGTCACCCCCCTTAGCTGGAGAGCACCACTGCTGTATGGCATTGCAGCAGTTTTGAAACACTCCAGTGTGGCTGGGTGGGAAGAGAGGGGCACGCATCTGTACGATACCAAAGTGCTCCAAATTGTAGTGGAATTTGGAGCACATCTGTCCATGACCTGTATCTTGTTAGCGTACAAATATCTTGAACCACTTCACAAAGTTTGAACAAAAAAACTGAAATGTTCTTATTCTGTTACTCAGTTTCTTTGATACTTATGTAGGTAGCTGCTTGTATAACAAAAGTTTTACCTAGGGGAATATAACCATTATCTATTTTTTTTCCTTCTCAGGGCAGTGCATTGTTTGCTGAAAGCACTCATGAGAACTATGTGGCTTGCTGGTGGATTTCATTGGGTAACTGTAAAGGGCAGGCAGGCATCACCAACAGAAGCAGCCATTCTCACAGTGGCTCCGCATTCTTCATACTTCGATGCTATTTCTGTGACCATGACCATGGCCTCCATTGTGATGAAGGCAGAAAGCAAAGATATTCCTGTCTGGGGAAGTAAGTTAATAGAAATGTCTTTCTTACAAGGAAGGTTTAAAAAAAAGGGCATCCTGGAAATCTCACCAATACATAGTAAATATGGCAGATGGGGGGAGAAAATACTAAGTAATGTAACCAAATTCCACTTGAACAAGGGAAGAGGTGAGATTCTTCTGTCCTAGTTGACTTATTGAATGAGTTAGCTGAAAAAATTGAAAGAGCTGTTCATACGATTAATGGCTAATGAGCAGAACCATATTATTCCACAGAATTCAGAAGCAGAGATTGAATTTGAGACCTTTGGGTTCAGACCATGGTGCTGAAGGAGACAAAGGGAGACAATTATATAAGGAGCCAGTACATAGGGATTCTGTAGGGCAGGTCAACCCCAGAAATCCTTCTTTGATATGGAGGTTACAAATAAATCAAATATAACACAAATTAGTGCACATTGAGTGCATCTACACAAGATGCTAAAAGCACAGTAGACTATTTCTACTGCACATTAGCACGTCATGGTGAAAGCTGTGTTAGTGCCTAGTAGAGCTAGTCATTACTTAAAAGATGTGTGCTGGTGCTGCTGTGCAGTAGTGCTGATTACTGGTCACTCTGGGCAGCAGTTAGGGAAGTGGTGTGGCAGTGGCAGCAGAGGGCTCAGGTTGACAGTGTGTGGTTGTGAGGGAGGGTGTGGGGATCCCCTCCCCATGGTGCCCAGCCCTGGCAGTGGTGGCAGTGGCACCAGCAGCAAGCAGGGGTGCCCAGTTCAGGTGCTCGTTCCCCGTGGGGCACAGCTCCAGGCAACACTGCACATCGCAGTGAGGGCTGCAGCCTTCACTGGGCAGTCCATCGCCAGCGCTCCCCACTTGCATGTGCAGCTGTCACATTTGCATGGCATGAGAGGGAAGCTCCCCCCTCATGCCATGCAAACACGCTGGAGCTGGCTGCCTTCCCCGCCGGGCCTGTGCTTCACGGGAGGAAAGCCTCAGGTGCCTTCCCCTGGGGGACAGGGAAGGCAGCTGGCTTTAGTGCCTGGGGCTTCCTTCCCATGTTTGGTGAGTGGGGAGTGCTGGTGATACAGACTGCCTGGCAGAGGCTGTGCCACTTGCCACAATATGTAGCACTGGCTGGAGCCATGCCCTGCCAGGCACCAGTGCCCTGAACAGCTCTGCCTGCTGCTGCTGAGCCATGGGGGGAGTGTGAGGGGAGAGGGTCTCCCTACCCACCCCCACCTTCCCTCACACCCACAACCCCCTGAACATACCCTGTACCCCCTTCCACACAGTCACACCCCACCACACATGCGCACGCACCCCTCCACAACATACAAGACTAAGACTTTATTTTTAAGTTATTATGCAATGACCTCTATATACACTATGCAAACACAAATCATGACAAAAATATGTTATAATAGGTGTTTGATTTCTAGTGTGTGATTTGTTTTTTTTTTTCTTGTTCTAAGATGACAACCGCCCCATCCCAAAAGGAGTGTTTCTGGGGGGCAAGGGGTGAGACTTCCGGTGAAAAAGGTCAGGGGTTAGGGGTGGGACTTCCAGTCTGAAATTGGCAACCGGCGGGCAGGGCAACCCATGCGGTCCTCAACAGCTCACCAGAACTCATTAAGCGGCCCTCCACCCAAAATAATATCCTGCCCTTGAGCTAGAGGTTCCACTGGTAGGTAGCATCGGCCAAGCTACCATCACTTAAAAAAGAACCTATTTTTATTAGGGTTCAGGCTGCCTCTTGGTGTCCCAGAGCAGCTTCAATATGTGGAGCAGTAACCTGTTGCTCTGTCTTCACTTCCACCAAAGCCGATTCCCATGATGTAAGCACAACATCTTCCATTTACTGGTAATTATATTAGCCCACACTTAGTGGAGTTTTTCATCAAAATATCACGTAGGACCACATCAAATGCCTTACTGCCTTATTATATCAACATGTTCCTTTTCATCCAGCAAGCTGGTTATTCTTGCAAAGAAGCTAATTGCGTTGGTTTGGCATGACTTGTTACTAACTTCCCAGGTATTGAAATCACACTTACTGATCTAATCCTCCTTTTCCCCCCATTTCAAATATGTGCACTGTTAGCTCTTCCACAATTTTCACCTGTTGTCCATGAGTTTTCGAACATTATTGTCAGTGGCTCTAAGGTTTTTTTTTAGCTATTTTTTTCAGAGCACTGGGGTGAATTCTATCAAATCTTCCTGACTTAAATTTATCTTATTTATCAAAAATTCTTTTCTGTGCTCTTCATATGCATTTTGCAGATCTTCCCCTTCTCTGGCCATCTTTCTTTTGTTAGTTATTTGTCTGTTGTTTGAGGGGGCTTGGAGATGGTGAAAGTAAAAGAACCACCTTAATAAGTGCACCATCTGCCTCAGAGACTTCTGTATTTGAGAAGCCAGTCCTACCTTGATAGTCTCATGACACAGCTGGACATGCTATTGATGAGTGTTTTGGATCTCTCTGCTAGGGAAGTAAACAACTAGAGACCTGAGCAGAGAGCAGCTCATTCCTGTGTAGGTAGGACAACCAAGCTCTTTCTACATAAAATATGTATAATGACTTCTGAGATCTGGAGGAGTGAGGTTTTGGGACGAAAACCTACAAGCTCATTTTACTGAAGTGGAATTCAGTAGCTATCTTGGACTGAAAATTGAGGTAAATTCTTCCACATATTTTTATCTGGATAGAAGGTAAAATATGGAGGATTTGCCACAAGGGCTTTTATCTCCTTTAGACAGAGAGTTAGAGCAAGAAACACATTGCCGTGGACTCAGAGGGAGACCTTATCAGAGGTGTGAGGACTGTATTTAGGTCTGGCTCTGTGATGGCAATTCTTACTGAAGTAAAGATCTTGGTGACTGTTCTGAGGAAGTTCAGGACTACTGGATGAGAACACCTCAGTGCTCGAGGAGAGCGGGCCAAGATAACCCCTAAATGGCCAAGAAAACTTTAGTTGCTATCACAAATACCTGGATAGTATCCTATATTGCTTCATGGAGTGCCTGGAGAATAAGGCATGGGTGGGAAGGTGACCAGAAGAATTTCTGACTGTGGAATAAAGAAGATATGGGAGAAGAAGCCTATATACTAACAATCTTATCAGGAGTAGGACATTGGCTTCTGTGATCCCCTTGCTTCACCCATGGCAGGTTTGGGTGTTATATCTTATGTTGTGTCAAGGTTGATGGTAGTTTTACTAAGAGGTTGGACAATGCATTTGCCTGGGATGCTTTGGATAAGGATAATGCTGGCTCAGGTGGGGGGTTGGACTAGATGTGACCTCTGGAGGTCCCTTCCAGCTGCACTTCTCTCTGATCCTATGACTGGAAAAATACCTTGGAGGGTCACCTGAACCTACCTTCCCTTGAGCATCTTCCCCTCTTTCTCCCCCCGCCCCCTTTCCATCAGGGATCTGGTGGCATCATGTGTCCCACCATGAGGATAGTCAGTAAGTTCTTCCATGATCCTAGGAAGATCTTTTCCAACCATATCTCACTTCAGTCCCTCTGGCAGGTAGCACACCCATCTCTTTCCTGAATCCACCTTGGTCACAAGCCGATTGATTCTCCCCAGCAAGCATGCTCACGTTGCTAGGGTCATCTGGAATGGACTTCCAAGGTAGGTGGTGCTCTCCCTTACCTTGGAGGTCTTTTAAGAGGAGACTGGACAAACACCTGGCTAGGGTCATCTGATCCCAGCACTCTTTCCTGCCCAGGGGCAGGGGATTGGACTCTGATCTTCTGAGGCCCTTTCCAGCCCTAAAAATCTGTGAAATCTGAGCCCAGCAGTCTTTCCTGCCCAAGTGCTGGGGGGCTGGATCTGATTATCTCGAGAGGTCAGTTCCAGCCCCAGCATCTATGAATCTATAAAGTCACCCCAAATCACATGGACCTGCCCCTTTGGGGGCTGGTATGCATCTCTAGTCCTCCCCTTGCACTCTTCCTTCTGCTGGGAGACTGGCCTTCTGCTTTCTTTGCCGGTCTTCTGTGTATCATTCTCCCTCCTGACTTTTTTTACTGCCTTGAGCTGTATCCCGTTGATGTAGAGTTTTGCCTCCTGAAACATCCAGGTGTTCAGTTCCCTGCAGGTTGCTGATGTGGGCTCCCCATTGTAATAGAAAAACATCTGGGTCATTGCTGACCCTTACACATACAGAACATATCTGTCCTCCACCTAGGAGAACAGAACTCCTAGAAGATTGTCAACGTAATTGTTAGCAAATGATTTTTCAAAGACCTTTCACACACTGACAGGACTGCATGCCTCTGAGCTCAACATGGCATATGATGTCACAGGTGTAGATGGTCATGTGATCAAGAGTGTAGAGTTGGCTTTATCAGTGGATCAGTGGTTGACTGGTAGGGTTAGCTCCTGCAGTAGATAAGTTCTAGGTGTCACAGGGTCCAGATTGACCTTTTGAATTGCAGACTCATCCAGAAGTCAGACTGGATTTAGGAGTATTCATCAGTTGTTCTTGGGTGTGAAAGAGGTGCAGTCATCTAGATGGTCATACACTACTATCCCTTGCTGTCTAAGGTGTATGGTTACTACCAAGAGCATCTTGGTAAAGACTCTAGAAGATATCAGGAGGTGGAATGGAAGAGTCTTGTCTTGATAATGGTCCTGACCCACCACAAATCAGGCACTTCCTGTGGGAAGGTCCAGTTCACTGTGCAGATGTAGTAATAGTAGCTTGAACTTTAAGTTGCAAATTGAAAATGAATGACCCTTAATTTAGAGATTGGTGCCCCATCTTTAAATTCCTTTTTGGTGTCAGAAACTAACCATCACAGAAACCATTTCCTTGGTGTAAGGTTACTTCCTCTCTCCTGCTTAAAGTTAACAAAGAGGATACTGCTTGCTGAAGCAAGACCTTCTTAGAAGGATCACTGAAAAGGGATGGAAAATGGCATTTTTTTTTGCTGTGGACAGCAGGCTGAAACTGTCTCATGTATCCAGTTGAGATGGATCTAATGCCTGTCAGACTGTAATTTTGGACAATGTTCAGT